CCCACCAGCCACTCCTCGGAAGGAAGGTTGGGCAATCCTACTTCCGTAGTGATACTGCCTCGGAAACCCAAGGAGGGGTCGCTATGAGTCGGGGCCAACTTGACGGCACACAACAACAACAACAACAACAACAAATTATTATTTAATTATTTACTATATGTCTAATCTGTGCTCTCTATTTTTATAGAGTTCTTTATCTTTTCAGAGCACACACTCACTATCTTATTTGATTCTTAAGCCATAACAATCTAGTGAGATACATAATATGAGTATTATTTTAGTTTTATGAATGAAACAAATAGACAAATCAATGTGCTTAAAGTCACAAACCTAGTTCTCCTTCCAACTTTTAAATGCTTATTTCCACTGCTTACTAGACATCATCCCCAGGACCTCAAAATCCATGTGCATAAAATGCAATTATATACACCTTTGAAATCTATTTTTCTTTCTACAATCTTTCATAAGGATATCACCCATTCACTCACTGAAGAATAATAGCATTTAGTAGTAGTAGTAGCCTTAATTCTTCTCTTACCTTTCCAGCTCTAATTATTGACCAAGATCAATAAATTCTATCTCCTTCACATCTCTTAGGTGGATCCCATCCCCATTTGCATGGGATGTCAGTACCTATGACTGGGATTATTGTATTAATTTCTTGACTGGTCTCCTAGTCTCCATACTTACTCCCTTCACATCTACCCGCAGTAGTACTGCTATTTGAGCTATCTTTCAAAATGTAGCTCTTATGAATGTTTCCTAATTCTTCAATGACTCCTATTGTCTATAAGATAAAGTCCATCTTTTTAAAAATAGCATCCAGAGGCAGTAATGATCTGATGCTCCTCTCTTCCATATCTGTGTCATTATGATGTTCTCACATGCACAAGACATAGCTTTTTAATTAATTTTTATGGATAACATGGACTTTCAGGTTTATCTTTTTGTTCTCAACACTAATTCAGTGTTTGGCACATAAAAGGCATCAATAAATATATTTTTAAAAGCATTAGTAAATGACTGGTCAAGAAGTCAATATATCATATGATTATTAAACAGACACCTAACATTGTCTGGCACACAAAAGGTCCACAATAATGTTTAGCGGATGAATAAATAAACCCATTGACATTCAATGATGATGACCAAAAATAAACCCAATCTTTTTCTTACTTTGTCTGCAAGGAACTGGTTGCGACGTTCTTCAATAAGTTTTTCCACGGCCTTCCTGTGTTCTAGTAGCTTCATTCTCTGTTTCTGAGCATTCATTAATTCAATTCGATCATCCTCAGCTAGTTTAGCTAGTGTAGCTTTTCTGAAGATCTCTTCTTCCTCTTTTGCAGCCTGAAGTACTAGCTCCTTCAGTGCCATTTGCTCTTCAAAATTTTGCTTCATCTCTTTTTGCTTTCTCAATTTCATTTCTTCTTCTTCCTATAACAATACAGCAAAAACTTAATTCAGTAACTGTTTCTTTACATCTGATTTATAAAGAAAGAGTGAGATAAAGTTTTGTTAAGCTTAGCATTATAATATGAGACCAGACAAACTGAAAAGTTAAGCCTTTTCAACATAATACTTTGCCCTATTGTTTTAAAACTAGCTGAATAAAAGACATGCTACTGTTGGACTGACATACTGCACTGGGCAAAACTGCTGCAAAAGACCTCTTCAGAGTGTTAAAAAGCAAAGCTGTCATTTTGCCTGATCCAACCCATGGTATTTTTACTCATATGCATGCAAAAGCTGGACCAGGAGAGTTGGAGAGACAGACAAATTGCTGGGGAAATTGTCTTGTATCGCTTATTTTTTAATTTTTTCTGTACTCCAATTAACACATAATCATACTTTGAAAGGAGCTGACATGAAAACTTTTTTTTGAAAACCTGAGTTTACTAATCTGTGCTCTGTGAAATCTGTACCATCTATGAATCCTTCTGGAACTTGCCTGAAACTTCTATCCAAACCAATCATAAGTACTTTTAGTTTCCAGGTTCCTCCCCTTTATGAAATCAGAGCTGTATTTACCCATGTCTAGTCTTCTAATGCTTCTACCATCCTCAAAACTTCTTTAAAATTTACAAACAATAATCCAGCACTGGTAATCAGAAGTTTCTCATGGAAATTCAAAGCTATTTATATCAGTTAAAATCCTTTCATGGAAGCTTTCATTTACTTAACATTTTATTATGAAAATTTTCAAACATACTGAAAAGTTTACAGAATTTTACAGTGATTACCCATATACCTAACACCAACATCCTACCAGTAACATCTACTATTCTTGCTCTGTCATCTATCTACTCAATTAGAACTGATGTTCTTCCCAACACTACAATTTGAAGAAAACTTAGAACTGGACCAATAAACAACATCATGATAAATGGCAAACTGAAGGCATCAAGGATTTCATTCTTCTTGGGTCAACAATCAGTGCCCATGGAAGCGGCAGTTAAGAAATCAAACTACATATTGCATTGGGCAAATCTGCTGCAAAAGGCCTCCTTAAAGTGATAAAAAGCAAAGATGTCACTTTGATAACTACTGTACACCGGGCCCAAGCAATGGTATTTTTAATTGCCTTATATGAAAGCAAAAGCTGGATAATGAAAAAGGAAGACTGAAGAAGAATGGATGTGTTTGCTATTGGCAAAGAAAAATTACTATATGGCCCCCATTAGGTTTCTGAGGCTGTAACTCTTTACAGAAGTAGATTGTCCATCTTCCTTCTGCAGAGCAACTAGTGGGTTTGAACCAACAACATTCAGGTTAGCAGTCAAATGCCTTAGGCACTATGTCACCAGAGCACCTATATTCTACATATGGACTACCAAAAGAATGAACAAATATGTCTCAGAGAAAGTACAGCCAGAATATTCCTTAGAGAGAGGACAGAAAGACTGTCTCATTTACTTTGGACATATCATCAGGAGGGACCAACTGCCAGAGAAAGGCATCATGCTTGGTAAAGTAGAAGGTCAATGAAAAAGAGGGAGATTCTCAATTAAATGGATTGACACAGTGTCTGCAACAATAGGCTCAAACAAAGCAACAACTGATTGTAAGAATGCCACAGGACTGGGCAATGTTGCTATGAGCCGGAACTGATGCCATGGCATCTAAGAACTGATGTAAAATTTAGAACTATCTGTATGGTATGAAAGGAGCTCTGATGATGTAGTGGCTAAGGCATCTGGCTGCTAACCAGAAGGTTGGTGGTTCAAACTCACTAGCTGCTCCGTGGAAGGGAGATGAAGAAATCTACTTCTGTAAAGATTTATTGCCTTGGAAACTCAATGCGGGTTGCTATGAGTCAGAACTGACTCGATGGTAATAGGTTATATGGTATCAAATTGACAACAGCAACTCAAAAGATTACATAGGAACCTTAGGGGGTAGTGATTTTATATCAATGGGGGAGGAACAACTCAGAAAAGGAGGGTGAGAATGATTGCACAATTTGAACAATGTAATCAGCATCACTGAATTGTACATGTAGAAACTTGAACTGGTGGATGTTTTGGTGGGTATATTCTCATCAACAATTAAAAAAAAAAAAAAGAACTGATAAAAATTTTAAATCCAATAAACCTTGGCCAATTTTAACAAAAGCTCCAGGCAGGAAAATTTCCTAAGGTATTCAAATTATTTTCTTAACAACCATATTGACCAGGGTTCTTACAGACAATAGAATTTACTCTAGTTTATGCAGAAAGGGATTTACTACAAATTCCAGGAGGGCCAGAGAATCAAGCTACTATCCTATTGCTCCAGTTCCACAGCTACCATAGCTACCTCAAGTGATGTGATCTTCCTCTATGTGGCTATCTCACTTTGCTCACTTCCATCTTTCACACCTTGCGCTGGCTTGGAGGTGGGGTAGAAGGTGGGAAGGGAAGTCTAGGGGTGTAGAGAGGGTAGTAACTGCTGGAGAGAACCTAGGTCATATGAAGAATGCTAACTAAAGGAAGTCTGAGAAATGTAGTTTTAGCGTTCTGGTCTATAATATAGTAAGACAAATTTTAAAAAGAGGTTGTTAGATGAGCCAATTTGTAGTATGAGCTAAAGGTGTCTTTGTTCATTATATTTTATATTGAATATTCGACCTCTTCTTCATCTATCCATATTTAATCCCTTTTTCAAATCCCATCTTCTTCACCTACCTATACCTAATCCCCCTTTCAAATCCTACCTTCTCCTTGAAGTCTTCTCAAATCACTCCAATCCATACTCATCTCTCTTTCTGGCCTGTACAACATTTAATTTTTCCATCATTGAATTTTATTTCATATGTATATGCCTTATCTCCTCACTGAAAAATAAATTCCTAAAGGGTATATCTTATTTTTCTATAAGAAGCTAGGCACATAGTGTCTTTAATATTATACACTATGTGTGTATTTGCTCACTGAAGGTAGAGTTACTGTCTAAATTTGCTTTTATCTCTTCCAGAACTAGGAGTATTTTATAAATAAAAATGTAATACGTATTAAACTAAATGGACTGCCAACACTTCCTGCACCCAATACAAATTTTAGATTAACCCACTGGTAAAGACATCCACCAAAAAACCAAGTAAGTGTTTTGGGTGAAAAAACCTTAAATTATGTATTTTTTTAACAGAAAATGGTTCATGTATTCTTTGATAGGTCTGGATCAGTACTATGCTCTGTATATAATATGAACTACACAATCTTCCATTCTTTTCTATGCTCTAAAACCTATTATATGATAGGAGAAATAGTGGTTCATTCAAAGTTTAAATAATTTGCAGTAAAATCGCTGTGAGCCTGGAAACTCATAGGCTTTAGATATTTCATTAAGTAATAGATACTTTATAAAGTATCTATCTTAGTCTGATTTTGTCCTTGGAAAGAGAGCCTTAAATAAGGATGTGGTTGCTAACTGAAGAGTAGGTAGTTCGAACCCACCAGACACTCTGAAGGAGAAAGGTGTGATAGTCTTCTCTCTCAATGTTAGCAGTTGTTATTTACTTGGAAAGATGAAATAAGAATACTCCACATTTCAAATTCATTACTAAAGCAGAGGGCATCCTATCACCAAAGATCTTAAATTGATGACCTTTGACGTGAAGGGACAATCAATCTCACAATTTAGGTCAAAATTTTATAGTCTAAATGATCATATTTGGATTGGTTTTTAGAATTATATTAAATTCATTAATGTAACCCTATATTTTGAGAATTGCTACTAAAAACTTGGTTGTCATTTAAGAAAAAAGACAAGCATGAAAATTTCAAGCACTCAATATTCTCTAAAACATTCTGAAAACTAGGAAGGATCTTCATCTTGAAGAAAAAGGTTGCAGTTTTCTCTTAAATAAAACAATATGCATGTCCTTTCAGCTGACAGATATTCTAAAAGGGACAACACATAAAAATAATCAAACTCTTAGTAAAAAATGAATTAGCACTTTTTAAAAGGTCTTTAGGGAAAAGAAGTCATTAACTTTCCCTTCCATACCTAATAAAATCTGACGTGTATATTTTTTGCAAACCTTTTGAATTCTATATAAGAAAACATCTAATGTCAATCTAATGACTGAACTGTTAAGAAACTCTAATTTGTGAGAAAATGAGTTCTTTATGCTAATTACAACACTGTGAGAGGACGAAGTTGATTATCACTTACTTTTCAGGCAAAACAATTGTTTCTTTAGATTATAAATTTCACTTTGCACTTAGAAACCCCAATTTACTCAAATATTTAAATGGGACTAAATATAATTCTATACTTTCAAAATGGTAAAGTTTCTGCTACTACATGATATTTTGTCTACTACATCAACACTTCCTCAGGGTATTTTTAAGACTTTAGGCATATTCTCTTCCAGCTTTGATTACCTTACTATCCATGGAATAAAATAAGACTATGCAAACATATAATCAATGGATGGTACAAAATGGCAGCGTACAGTATGGTGAGTACTGCTGTAAAGCCTTAAGGATACATAAGACAACATTCTAAACTGGTAGTAAAACTCCAGGCAGGATTTTCCAGTTCTCATTATCACTTGTTTCCTAGCATGAGAAGAAGAGCTTTCTAAAAAATAAGTGTGCTTCTTGTGATACAGCATCTGGACCGGTGTGCTGGCTTGAGTGTGGGGCAGGGGCCCCAGCACCGCATAACTCCTGGGACCACCATTCACATGGACTCAGATGGCTGTCCTAGTGCACAGAATTCACATATCCAAAAACCAAATCAAACCAAACTCATTGCTGTTGAGTCGATTCCAATTCATAGTGACCCTATAGGGCAGAAGAGAACTTCCCTACAAGGTTTCCAAGGATGTAATCTTTATGGAAGCAGACTGATAAACTTAAAATCCTGACACATGAGTTAGAGGAAATGATTAGAGCAGTACCCTAACAGTATAACCTCAACTTCTTTTTAAATACTATGAACCAAAAAAACCCAACCTCACTGCTGTCAAGTCCCTTACTGACTCATTGCAACCCCTCCTTGGGTTTCTGAGTGGTATCTCTACAGAAGTAGATTGCCCAATCTTCCTTCCGAGAAATGGCTGGTGGGTTCGAACCGCTAGCCTTCTGGTTAGCAATCAAATACCTTAGACACTATGCCACCAGAGCTCCCCTTTAAATACTATAGTAGCAATTATATTTATGTGATATATTTTTTAATAGTCTAACACAGTTCCTCCTATGAATAATCATAAAATGTCATAAATGTATATATGCTACATGACTATTTACATGATACAGAATATTGGGTATGTGTGGATATATTAAAAAGGCAGTTTCACCACCCCGTTTCAAAATGATATGCCATTCTATGTTAATCATTTGATTAATTTCCCAAAACTTACTTTTAGTTTCCTCCTATCTATTTCAGCTTGCTCTTCCTGGTATAATTCCTGTCGCACTTGTTCCAAATCCTCACGTTGCCGTAGCATTTCTTCTAATTTCTGAGTCAGCTATGAAATTTAAAAAACACACAGATATTTATGTTGTTGTTATGTGCCATCGAGTCGGACCCGACTCATAGCGACCCCTCCTTGGGTTTCCGAGGCAGTAACACTATGGAAGTAGATTGCCCAACCTTCCTTTCGAGGAATCTCAAGTGCCCAAATTCTACAACTATTTTATAATTCCTCCAGTTTTAGAGAAATTATTATGTTCATACCACATTCTGAAGTTGTAGTCTTTTTTCCTCATACTCTTGAACTTTTGCCATCCGATCTTCTTCTCTTTGCTTCTGTATGTTGGCAAACTCTATAATTTTTCGGTTTTCTTCCTCCATCTCCTCACGTTTCTTTTGTCTCCAGAGAGCTTGCTCTTTCTGAAACTCTTCCATATATCTTCGAATTGCATTCATTTTTTCTAACTTTTGTTGTTTTTCCCTAAAAAGCAGTAATGGGTACAGTTTTATAAAAACAGAAATAATAACAATAGTTAAATAAAAAATCTATTTCCCTCTGTCCATAATAATATGGGGGAAAAGACTTTCCTCTTTATTTTGTTCATTCATTCATGCAACAAACATTCCGAGTGCCTACTATGTGCCACTACATATGCTGTCAGGTATCAATTTTCTCTGGATAAAATGTTGCTATGCCTCTCTTCCCTCGGAAACCCAAGGAGGGGTCGCTATGAGTCGGGGTCGACTCGACGGCAAATAACAACAACAACATTTCAGAAAGCTCATTACATAAGCCTTGCATCACTCTACACTTAAGCTATCTGTTGAGAAAACTTATGTCCTCTGACATTCGATATGGTATATGTAAGAAAAACAAATGTTCAGTAGTTCAGTCACTTAAGAATCATTACTAATTATCAGATAACATGCTAGCAAAGATGACAAGAGCTGGTCTCATGTTATGTAACAATAGCTAACATTTATTGAGCACTTGTCCTAGATGTTTTACCTTTTACCACAAGACTATGATAAATTTTAACATAAATGTTTAGCCATGTAAGAAAGTTGGAACAAACTTACAGCTGATCTTCTTCATAGATTTTCCTAACAATTTCATCTATCATGAGCTTCTCTTTCAGCAACTGCACATAAGCTTCCTGCTTTTTTTGTTCTTGTTCTTCAAGTTGTTTTTCTAAGTCATCATAGTATTGTGCTTTTATTTTGTTTCGTCTGTCCTTTGCAGCATTCTCTGCCTCTATTACTCTCTCATGCTCTTCCATCATGGCTCTAGCTATTTCAGCGTCACGTTTCTGTTATTAAAACAAATTTATATTTCCATTTTCAAATATGAGCATAATACAATAGAATATTTTAAGCAGATGTAGTTCAGTTTTATAAAGCCTGCAACATTGAATATTTTCATGTGTCTAGGTAAAAGTGAACCTTCCTCTAATCCTGATGCCGCATTCTTCATATAGTCCAGCTTTTCACTTCTCAAATTATTTGCTCAAGGTACAGATTGAATAAGTACAATAAAAGAAGACAACCCTGACACACACCACTCCTGATTTTAAACCATGAAGTATCCCCTTGTTTTGTTTGGATGACTGCCTCGTGGTCTGCGTGCAGGTTCCTCATAAGCACAATGAAGTGTTCTTGTATCCCATTCATCACAATGTTATCCATAATTTGTTATAATCCACATAGTTGAATATTTCTCCCTAGTTTACTGTGCATTTTGATATTTCTATGATTTATGCCTTTTTTATATTTAATATAGTCAAATCTGACCTATTTTCTGTGTCATGATCCCTATGGTTTATTTCTTTCTAGAAAATGCTTCCTCATTCCAATGTTACCATAAAATGAATCCTCCAAGATTTTCTTTTTATTCTTTCATGACTTCATTTTTAAACTTTCATCAAATAAGTATAGAACTAGCTTTGTCTATGCCACCCCACCCCTCCCCCAGGGAGCTCTGGTAGCATAGTGCCTAAGGCATTTGACTGCTAACCAGAAGGCTGGCAGTTCAAACCCCCTAGCCACTCCTCCGAAGGAAGATTGGGCAATCTACTTCCGTAGTGATACTGTCTTGGAAACCCAAGGAGGGGTCGCTATGAGTCGAGTCCGACTCGATGGCACATAACAACAATAACAACAGGTAAAAAGCAAGCTAAGTCACTGTCATCTAGAGAACGGATTTGGATGACAAGCCAAACCCTAAGAGGCGTTAGTATTCCTTCAAGTAACTCTCTCAGGGAAATATTTGACAGCGATAATTAATAACTCCATATGTGAAAAACAATATGTAAAATTATAAGTACTTTATTAATAACTATTTCAACAGCTAAGGCACCAGTCATTCTTTTCTTTCTTTTTAAGTTGCTCTTGGGCTATTTTCTTCATTTTTAGCTCCACTGTGTATCAGGTTCTATTTAGAGTAAGAATGGAATTAACCTCTTTCCTACATGGCTACTATTCCACGTCTACAACTCCTAAGTTTCTCCTATCCTAAACTTTTTTCCCTGTCACTAGCCCTTGAAGTCTTCCCTTTATTACATATTAACTTAAACTACTTTAACTACTTTAACTTAAAAGGATTTCATATGTCCCTCTGCCTGTCTCCTGAAGTTTTTAATTCACTCATGACTATTCCCTCTGAGTCAGAGACAATCCTGCTTCTTGGATGACTTAAACTCCTTATTTCTCTAGAGCATTTTCAAATTAGATAAAAACAGGTTTCAAGTTAAAATGTACCAGGGAAATTTTAAAAATGACCCTTTACCTTTACGATTGTATCCCAAATGCTGGAATGGTTAGCAGCATCAAACACAAAAGAAGAAACAGATCAAAATGCAAACGCTAAAATGTCTTTCATGATCTAAATTGATACCTGTGAGATATACCATTAATATGACTTGATTAAAATTCTTTCTTTGTAGATTCTTTCTTTGCATATGTTGTACTAAAGTCTTTATAAAAAATATGAAATTATAAAAAAACTCACACACAGATAACCACACACTTATGGAAATACAATGTTCTTATTTTATGGATAAGAAAACTAAGTCTTAGTCAAGTCTCAGATGTATTGACTAATTTTTATAGATCAATTTTATTTAGAAAATAACAGCAATTCTCTCAGGAGTCAAGTTGAAATGTCTACAACTGGCTGGAAACCTCAATTATCAGCATAATTAATTATCAGGATAACAATTTGGTGTAGGAAATGAAGTCTCCCCACCATCTCCTACCACCCTCTCGACTTTTTCTATACTCATTCAATACAATGAATACTCATATACATTTCGCACACACATATATATGCACAGTGCACGTGTGCACACACACACACATCATTTATGGCCAGCCTCTATTCTTATTTGGTGCCTATACTGTACTGCACAGGTTAAGTATTTTGATATACATGTATAATTATATAGGAATGTGTGCATGTTGATATACAAAACACATATTTATGTGTCTGTACATATGTATGTGTCTATGTATAGCCAGGAGCTCTGGTGGTGTAGCACCTAAGGCATTTGACTGTTAACCAGAAGGTTGGTGGTTCAAACCCACCAGCCACTCCTTGGAAGGAAGGTTGGGCAATCTACTTCTGTAGTAACATTGCCTTGGAAACCCAAGGAGGGGTCGCTATGAGTCGGATCCAACTCCACGGCAGTGAGTTTGGTTTTTTTGGTTTTGTGTATAGATATATATACACAAAGACACACATATTGAACACAAATAATGTGTGTATATGTTAAAATACACATATATGTACAGGTTTTAAAAAAGTAAAAACGGTCTATGATATGAATTGTTCTCCAACTAACTTTTCTCTGCAACTTGCTTTTCTTTTTTCTTTTCAGACTATAATATATTCTAGCCAACTTAAAAAGCCAGAATATTGACTTCTACTTCTTTCTTTTTAACAGCTGAGTAACATATGAGGATGTTTCTCTTACAACTATGAAGTATAACCTATACCAGAAGTCTTTTTTTCTAAATGTATTGAAGATATTTAAAATATTATTTAAATATTTTGAAAAAATACTCTTTTCTCTCTTCACGGGGCGGGGGAACACAGAACACATGTGGAATGCAACTTTATGATTAATTTTCTGGACACAGCAACCCTTTTATTTCCAATAATCATCACTATAACATCTGTGAAAGAGATCCTTAGAGAGTACACTCTACCCACCACCATAATGCTCCATGTATCAATAGGAAACAGAAGGGAACTTAAAAACTGGAATCCCTCAATCAGACCTTGGAATCTGTTTGGCCTTTTGGTCCAATAATAACAGCTCAAGTGCACAAGTGCAGCCTTTATTTGTATACTTTTAAGTGTTTCCTCAATAAATTCTATTTTTTATCTATACTGTGTAACATACTGGTGAGCATGTCTGAGACTCCTTTGTCCAAGAGTGTAACTCTTGCTCTGAACTTAGTAGAATTAGAGTTAGAAAAATAGAAACATGAAAAGAAAGCTGTTTATAAAACAAGAGTTTTCAACATAAAATGATAGTTTACTTACTATATTTTTTTATAAAATATATTTTTACTTATATTAAAAAAAAACTAAAAATAGTATTCTAAAATAACTACTCATGCTAACTACTTGTGCTGTACTAGTATGACAAGAATAGAGACCATATGGAATGCTGAGCAACTTAATCCTTCACATCCCTGAAAGGCTCAATATAAAATTATTCATAATTTCTTATATTTTAAAAAAGTATAAAAGTATTTGAGAAATTTAGTAGTGTAAATTCTTTATAGTGTTGAACAATTATCTACAAATTTTGGTTTCTTAAATAAAGCTAAAAATATAAAAGACATAAAAACCAGGAAGATAATTACCATTTGCTCATATTTAATGGAGTCCTTTTCAGCAATCTGAGCTGCCCTTTCTTTATTCATGTAGGCTGCTTTTAACTTCTTCTCCAATTCTCTGAGCTCAATACTGGTTAACAAAAAAAGGCAAAACTTTAAATTTGAGGATATTTCTCTTACTACTATGAAGCATAACCTATACCTGAAATCTTTTTTTTTCTAAATGCATTAAAAATATTTAAAATATTTAAATATTTTGAAAAACTACTCTTTTTTCTCTTCACCCAGGGGAGGGGGAACACAGAACGCACATGGAATGCAACATTACAATTAATTTTCTGGACAAAACAATACTTTTATTTCCAATAATCATCACTAAAACGTTTTTTTTCCCAATGCCTTGTTATAGATTGAATTGTGTCACCCCAAAATATATGTCAAAATTCCAACCTTTCTGCCTATGGATATAATCCCATTTGGAAATAGGGTTTTCTTTATTATGTTAAATGAGGTCATATCAGTGTACAGTATGTCTTAACCCTAATTACTTTTTTTAACAATAGAGAAAACACACACCAAAATATCCCACACACAAGAACCTCCACATTGACAATTCAGTGACATAGATTACATTTTTCATATGGTGCCACCATTATCACTATCATACAAAACATTCCATCACGATTAACATAATACCGATGCTGCCAAACAAAAACTCCCTTGCTGTCTCTCCTCCCCCATGGAAACCATTAACAATGCTTGGTTTCTATATATTTGCTTATTTCATGTAAGTGAAATAATTTAGAGAAACCAAGATACCTGTTTTCTCTTACTTGTTGCCTCATCTTTTCATCCTTTAGACGTTCATGTTTTAGTTTTGCCAACTCTGAAGCCAATTTTTCTTCTTGTTCAAGTTGGAGTTCCCTCAATCTTTTGTTTTCTTCTGCCTGAATGAGAAAAAAAATAACTTTAGATATTCTTCCTCCAGAATCATCTTTTTCTTCTTTTAGGATGAATTTGTCCATAATACAAAACTGCAAGTGCCTTAGGAAAAATGGTTGGCTATTTCATGTGTTTCATAACTATCCGAAGGTCTAGTGGATAACTCTTCATGGACGACAGTAGTTCAAGAGATGATGCTTAGTACTGCAAATTTCTTCATTCTATAACTTTTAAACCTCTTACATTATTCTTCAGACTAAAATATGAATTTGATTTTAAAATTCAAAATACTATTTCAAGAAATACTTTTCTAATTTTTTAAAATGGAAAATTCCAAACATCACCAATTGCAGTGTAGTAAATTACTTAGTATGGCTTTTCTACCCATAAGTCATTGCAAACTCAGTGGTGGAATGAGCAACTGAGGAGCTCCTGATTGTAAATGTTATCCACCTGGGTTACTTCTGTTGGGCATGGCACAATGCAATGTTATGGGAGGCTCTCTCTCAGGTGCTTAGAATTCTGTTGTTATGATTGGTTGGTTTGGCCACTCTGCCAAGCTCAAAAGGAAGCCTCCTAGAGGCAGAACTCTCTCTGACTGCTGGTTGAGGAAGACATGCTGCTGAAAGAGACACACATTGCTGAGTAAGACACTGAGGGACATGCACTGCTGGGAGAGAGACTGTGAGAGACCTGGCTGAGAGACAGCGGGCTGGGAGAGAGACTGAGCACTTTTCCTGAACTTGAATTGTAGCCTGGTGCTTCCCTAATAAACCCCAAAATCTGTGAGTTCTGTGTGGCCACTGCAGCGAATTATCGAACCCAGGAGAGAGGTGGTGTGCTTTGGGAGGAACAGTTGGTGAAAGGGCTGGAGGGAGGCAGCATGTCTGGCCTTGCAGTAATAGGCCTTGGGCTATTCATGGTGATTCTGCCTTCCTCTTGTGGGGTTCTAGGAGGTCAGAATATGTGGCCTCCTTGTCCTTTTTGCACCAATAAACCAAAGCAAACCAAGCCCACTGTCATTGAGTCAATTCCAACTCATCAGGACAGGGTAGAACTGCCCATAGGGTTTCCGAGGCTGTAAATCCTTATGGAAGCAAACTGTCTCATCTTTCTCTCATGGAGCTGCTAGTAGGTTCAAATTGCCCACCTTTTGGTTAGTAGTGAAATATTTTATCCACTGAGCCACCAGAGATCCTAACATGACTGTTCTGGTTACCTAGTGCCGCTCTGACAAGAATATATACCACAAATGGGATGGCCTGAACAAACAGGAGTTTATTCTTACAATTTGGAGGCTTTAAGTCCAAGTTCAAGTATCAGGCTCTAGGGGTTGGGTGAAAGCCCCTCAACCTTGGGGTCTAGCTCTGCCTCCTGCTCCCAGCCCACTGGAGCTAGAGGCGTTTCTTCACTCAGACAGGTGTTGGCTGCTGAGGCTGAGAAGCCCCAAGGTTGACAGATAAAAAGGCACAGTCCCAATGTTACCAAACCACACGGCAAACCATTGATTCAAGTCCATTGTAAGTCCCAAGGTCAGCAGAGCACAGCAGGCTGATGAGCAGCGACAGGGCTACATGCAGGTCCAGGCGTGCCATAGGCTAGAGACCATTCCCAGGGCTTCTCCTTACATACAGGAAGCAGACCACATCCCAAAGGCAGCTACTCAGCTGCTTGTGGCAGATCCCACCATGGAGTTGATTGCCAGTTTCATCATGGGGAATAACTACCACCAGCTGCCCAGCCACTCAACCAGGCCCAGCCAAGGTGACACACAAACTTAACTACCACAATGACCAACAGTAAAAAACATTAAAATATACCCTCAGGTAATCATCAACCATCTTCAACAATTATTTTGGTAATCTACCCTCCTACTACACTCTTACCTTGTCCTTGTTCTTCTCTTTTGCTAGAGTATTTTCAAACAAATCTTAGACATCATGTCATTTACAATGTAAATAATTCAGTGCTTTTAAATCCAATTCAGATCCAATAATGGAATCTGTACTTGTTTTATATAACAATGCCATTAACATACTGAACAATAATTCCTCAATAATGTCTAATGCCCTGTCAATGTTCAAGTTTCTTCAACTGTCTCAAAGATGCTTCTTTTCCAGCTGGTTTGTTCAAGTCAAGATCCAAACAAGGTCCACCTGTTGCATTTGGCTATAATTCCTCTTAGGTCTTTTTCATTCTATAATTATTATCCTGTCCTTTATTTTTTTCCAAGTCATTGATTATAGAAATTAGAGCATACATCCTATAGAATGACCCACATTCTGAATTTGACTGGTTGCATGCCCAAGATATAATTTGTTTCTCTTTTGTATTTCCTGTAAAATAGTATAAATATCTAGAAGCATGACTACATTCTGTATTTAGGAAAAAATATAGGTTTGTTATATATTTTTTCTGCATATTTTTCAGGCACATAATTTTAGGGTTTTCCACAGTTAGAAATGCAAAGATTGAGCAGCAGATTCATTTGGAATCAATGATATTAGGAAAAAATGATCTTAAAAAGATTCTTGATTAAATTTTTAAGTGCCATATAACTTTGATCGAATTTATAACCAAAGTGCAAAAAGACATGTCTTTAGTTGAAAGTCCTTTATCATCACTTCCTACTTCCTCTTCTGTTCTTTCTCTCTAGACATAATCTTTGCTTTCCATCCAACACTAAATTAATTTCATGTAACCCAAATAAACCATAAGAAGACAAATCACATAAGACAGTCTATGAGTATTACCCACACAATACTTGGTTGAAAGGAGAAAAGCGTAACTTTGCAAGTAAAAGGATCAGGTGGTTATCACCTTAATCAATATTAACATCTCTAAAAGTAAGACAACTAGAAATTATGTTTTGCTTGATAAGATGCAATATGAAGCACATTATCATGTAGGACATATTCTCGAATCTAATTACACCTTTTTGCTGTACTTCCACTTTATAGGAAACACAAATGAAAAAATAAGGTAAATGATAATAAACCAAAAATCAAAACCAAACTCACTGCCATCAAGTTGGACTTGACTGATAGCGACCCCTCCTTGGGTTTCCAAAATGGTAACAGGAGAAAGTAATCAGACAAATGCATGGAACATTCTACAGGATAACCTCAATATGTCACTGAGAACTGAGAAAACAACAATAACAACAGGGGAGAATTCTATATTAAAAGACTTAAAAGAACTTCCACTTTCAGGAAGATGGAACGCAGGTATTTTTCCCTACTCTTTGTGCTAAGTATAATTAAAAGGAGCTCTGCTAGTTTTGTGCCTAAGGCATTTGACTGCTAACCAGAAGGCTGGCGATTCAAACCCACTAGCCACTCCTCAGAAGGAAGGTTGAGCAATCTACTTCTGTAGAGATACTGCCTCAGAAACCCAAGGAGGGGTCGCTATGAGTAAGATCTGACTCAATGGCAGTGAGTTTGGTTGGTTTTGGAAGTATAACTAAAAGCCCAAGATGTTATATACAAAACAAAGTCTCTCAGAAGACTCTGAAAGGTGGAGGAAAGAAGACAGAAGACTGGCTAGAGAGCACAGTTTTCTTTTTGCCTCATATATCCCAGACTTGGAGCTCAAGAAGCCAGCAACCCAGAAACCCCAACAATGCATACACAGACGTAACAAGAGCCTGTTCTCTCTAGTTAAAGGACCAGGAAAGGGGCATCCTAGCACAATAGAAAACCGTTAGATAATACATAACTGCCTACTTCAGCCAAACACCACATAAAACATGGTGGCTCATCCCTACCCTCACCAGCAAAGGTTGGGTGAAGAGACTAGACTTTCACCCTCATGAGGATTTAATGAGGTACCTCAATAACCCCACTTAGGGTTGTCAGAGAAGGCCAAACAGAGAGCCAGGACTTTTAATCCTGCCATTTGGTAACATGGTCCATATATCTTCTACAGTGTCAGTGGCAATTACAGGGCAAGACTGAACTTCCAGCCCCACCTAGCAGTAACAAGGTATGCCTCTGGCTCCCTGTTAGTGTAAAGCCAGAGGAGAACTTAGCCTCAGCAAAGAAATAGAAAATGTCAACACAAAAACAGAAAAAAATAAAAAGAAACAAATGTACATTTAACAACTGAAAAATATGTACATAAAAGAATCACTTGGGGATTTATAAAAATCACCTGGGGATCGTATTAATATATATAGATTCTGAGTCAATATATCTGGGGTGGAAATACACATTCTCAGCAGGGGGTCAAACTGGAATGAACAGGTTTGAAACCCTAGTCAAAAATGAAAGAAAACAATGATTTAGGCAGACACCAATGCAAGTAACTGGGGCACTAACTATTTGAAAATTAACCATTTATCCCCCCTCTTCTGTAAGAACTTTATTTCAGAATACTGAATTACCCAGTTGATGAGGGAAAGTTCTTTACAGAGGAATTTCAGCAAATTACATACGAAAAGGGCAACAGAATTATAAAATCACTGTTTTGTAATCACTGATAAAAAATGATTCACTGGTGAAACTACTAGATGAAAGGTTGATGTTGTTGTTGATGTTATGTGCCATCAAGTTGGACCCAACTCATAGCATACGCTACCAGGGCTCCCTGAAAGGTTGATGGGGACCTTTAAAATGGAACAACTAGGCTATCTCACTAAATCAACATTAGCATCTAAAAGTGAAACAATCAAACATTGTGTGCCTCCTATGTGACACTTGTGATACAACATAAAGGACAACATGACATATAGAGTAACCTTCCCCAAAAATTGTACCTAAATCTATTCATGCCTTTAAAGCTAATTTCCATTTAAATATAGATAAGGGAACAAATTAAAGGAACCATGAGAAAGCAGACAAACAAATCCAGAATGTAAGATCCTATAAAACAACTAGCCTAGTCAAACAAGTTAAAAACTTAAAAATATATAATGGAAGATAGAGGGACTATTTTAAATAAAGAGAGATTTAATGGACAACTATGAACCTTGTATTGATCCTGATTAAAGCAAATCAACTACAAAAACTGATTTTTGAGACCATCACAAATCTGATCACGGAATGGTATTAAATAATATCCAGAATTTATTGATAATTCTATTAGATGACATAATGGTATTTCTATGTAAGAAAACATATGTATTTTATAAGATGTATACAGAAGTATGCAGGATAAGTTGATAGGATATCTGAGATTATCTTTAAAATTAAAGAAAAAAGTAGAGTAAAAAGAATAGAAAAACAAAATCTGATTCCTAGTGTCTGATTGCTCAGGGTTAAAGAATCAAGTCCAAGCATTTGGGATTTGGAACACAGAGGGATAGATATCACTTTTAAAACCTGCTTTTGCTATTTCCACAGTATCCTACAAGCACTCAAAAAATACTGAAATATCAGAATAATCTTTTCACATTCATGAGAACACATTTCTCTCGTATATCTCATCTTCCCCTTTTCTCTTGGCTTGATTCTTTAGAATATTTAGAAATTTCCATTGGGAAAAAATCTGCTTGTTTCAGGAGTTTTATATATGTGAAGTATTTAAATTCTTCAAGGAAGTATTTTAAAAATCAGAAAAATACTTAATACGAAAGTGTTCATTTTCTACCACTAAAAAAGGCACATGTTTAATTTCAGTAAAATCAAATAATCTTACTGCTAAGTTTTTTATTTTAGAAATTTGTGGAAAGCACCACAATTACACTTATGCACTGTGGAAGTTAATAACCATAGATTTCATAAAACTGAGTGCTTACTCAGTATCAGGCACTGTTTTCAAGGGCTTTATATGTATTAACTCATTAATTATTTTAACAATCCTATGAAATAAGTACTATTATTACTCCTTATTTTATGGATGAGGCATAAAAATTCAAAGCAATTTACCCAAGTTCTGTTTAAGTAATACAAAGATTCAGAGACATGCTGTCTAGCACAGGGACCCAACCATTTACAACTACATTGGGCTGACTCACAGTGTTGTTGTTGTTATGTGTGGTCTAGTTGGACCCAACTCATAGTGACCCCTCCTTGGGTTTCCGATATGGGATCATTATGGAAGTAGATTGCCTAACCTTCCTTCTGAGGAGTGGCTGGTGGGTTTGAACTGCCAGCTTTCTGGTTAGCAGTCAGGTGCCTTAGGCACTACTCTACCTGAGCTCCTGACTCACAGTGAAGCATCCCTTATCTGATGTTGTTGTCCATCTCCACTCAATTCCAACATCAGCAGTTGGATTTCATCATTTCCAAGGAGAAAAAGGAAAAAAAAAAATGTAATAATGAATAGTAAAACTTACCTTTTGAATGGCCTCTTCCATATCCAACTCGAATTGTTCATTCTGTAATAATCTGAGGAATCTCTTGCGTTCCACATGGTCATCATTTTCATTCTTCACCTTCAGGTCCCTGACTTGACTGTCTATCTTTTCTAGTGCTTTGATATGCAATTTTTTGGAATAGTTTTCATCTACTAATTTCTGATGCCTTTCAGCAAAGCTCAAATTTCTTCTTTTGGATGTCTATAATGTGGGGGCGGGGGGGAGAGACAGAGAGAAAAACTATGCATACTTTAATATTTAAAAATCAGTAATTTTTAAATGATACAAAGATAGGTAACTAACATACAATAGGGCTTCCTTGCTAAATTCAGAGAATTTACCGTAACAAACGAGTAAACATAGATGAATATATTGATATATCAATAAGGTAGATACTATTATTATTCCTCATTTTATAGATGAGGCATAAAAGTAAAAGCAACTTCCAAGATTCAGCAGCTAATAAACAAAAGACAGGCAGTCTAGCTCTATAGGCTCATTTCTTTACCACTGCACAGGAAATTCCTCCTCTTCTCATTCTACTCCCTAAACCCGAACAGAAGGTACTATTCTGAAGCTGGTCAAGTTTTCCTAATATAAATTTAATAGGGCAACCCGCTGGTATCCATCCATTCACTCTCTCTGGGACTTTTACTTCCACTGATTTGTCCGGAGGTTCTACGTATTTCCTCAGATTTCCAGAAATATAAGAAATAAGATTTTATCAGCCAGATTTAGAGATAAACCAAAACCAAACCCCCTGCCATCCAGGACATTCCGACTCACAGCCACCGCATAGGGTTTACGGAAGCAGACTGCCGCATCTTTTAAACGCTGGGCGGCTGATAGGTTCCAACCTTTTGGTTAGCAACCAAGCACTTAACCACTGCACTACCAGGGCTCCTAATTCTCAGATCAGGCACTTCGAATCATTTTGTAGAAGCAAGCGGGCTCTAAACTATATTAAATCAATAAATAAGTAGTTTCAAGTCCCTTGACCAGCTCACCATCTTGGCTGGCGAAATCTCTTCTCTGTGGCCCCAGCGGCACTACCTCTCCGCAAACCAAAACGCCAGCAGCTCGGCGGGGCTGCAACCAGATCTGCCTGCCACAGCGTTTACGCGGTGTCCCAGCAACCGCCACCGCAGCGCCAAGGCCTGACGGGGGCCAACCAGCTCAATCCTCGGCCTCCTATTGGGGGCGGCAAGATACAATCGCCACAGAGTTTCTTGAGAGCCTGGCGGCGCGGCTTCTTTTATAGGTCTAATCCAGATAGGCGGGAAGTTCAGACTGGGGCTTTAACAGTCGGAGAGAGCGCCCTGGGAACTCTGGTAGCCTAGTGCCTAAGGCCTTTAACTGCTACCCAGAAGACTGGTGGTTCAAACCCACCAGCCACTCCTCCGAAAGAAGGTTGGGCAATCTACTGCTGTAGTGATAGATAGTGCCTTGGAAACCCAAGGAGGGGTCGCTAAGAGTCCGGCTCGCTCAACGGCACTTAGCAACAGAGAGCCTAAGATTTTTTCCCAAGCTGCCGAACTGAACTAAGTATAGAACATGGAGCTGGAGGGAATTTCCACACACAGCATCCTACATCCTCAAAGCCTGTTCTGTAAAGGTTGATGACTTCATTCTCAATAATAGTTGCCCAAGTCACTGTTGCTCTTCTTGGGGTCCTGTGAGACATGTGCGTAGCGAGTACTTCCAGGTGCCTTCACTTGACCCCCACAGAAAATGTTGAACCTTGGGAATAAAATGTGTGGGTCATATGGTCTTATTCAGCTATAATAGATGGTCCAGCTACCAATGAAAGAGCAGGTAGATCATGACCAGACTGTTGGTCTGGTTTATTTTATTAGCATGTTAAACAAGGTCTGGTTTATTTTATTAGCATGTTAAACATTAAAGTCCATTTCAGATGGAAGAATTTAAGAACAGGTATGGATCAGAGAAATTAGTGAAATATACCAGTTCAAACCCACCAGCCACTCCTCGCAACCTCAGAAACCCAAGGAGGGGTCGTTATGAGTCAGACCTGACTCGAAGGCAGTGAGTTTGGTTTTTTAGTTTAGTTTTCTCAAACCTGAATTTTTTTTTTTCAAAGAAATTTAGCAGCAGTTGGTGTTATCCTAATTTGAAGTCTAACTTGTGTAGTAATTTATCTTCTTAGATACTGATAACAAACAGGACTTCCAATTTCAGCATAAAGACCCTGGAAATTGCCAAACTGATCATTAAAACAAGAAAGAAAGAAAAAACCAACAACGGAAAATCAACAATTTTTCTTGATTCTGATAAAAAACTGAAGTCACTGAGAAAACTGCCGTGGAGAAACACATGAATCTCAAAAGTAAAAGCTGACAACTACTTACCTGGAACAGAAGACACTAGAGCCAGAAATAGTTGTTGTCGTTAGGTGCCAACAAGTGGATTCCCAATTCTAACAACCCTATGTACAACAGACCAAACCACTGCTTGTACTGCACCACCTCACAATGGTTGCTATGTTTAAGTCCATTGTTGCAGCCACTGGGTCAATCCATCTCCTTAAGAGTCTTTCTTTTTTTTTTTTTTTTGCTGACTTTACCAAGCATGATGGCCTCTTGATAACAAAGAACGTGAGATGAAGTCTTGCCATCCTCACTTTCAAGGAGCATTCTGGCTGTACTTCGTCCAAGAGAGATTTGATCATTCAGAGCAGCTTGGACTCCCTCCTTCAATACCATCAGTTCTTCACCCTATGCTACTTCCTGAAGTCGTTGGATGTCAACCAATTCTTTTTGGTATTGTGACCCTGAGATTACCTTTCCTTGAAATGGGCACAAATATAAATCTCTTCCAGTCAGTTGGCCAGATAGCTCTCTTCTAAATCTCCTGGCGTACCCAAGGGAGTGCTTCCAATATGGCATCCATTTGTTGAAACATCTCAGTGGGTATCCTGTCAATTCCTGGAGCCTTGTTCATCGCTACTTCCTTCAGTGCAGCTTCGATTTCTTCCTTCAATACCATTGGTTCTTGATCATATGCCACCTCCTAAAATGGATGAACATTGACCAGTTCTTTTTGGTACAGTGACTGTGTATTCCTTCCATCTTCTTTTGATGTTTCCTGCATCATTCAATATTTTGCCCATAGAATGTTTCAATTTTGCAACTTAAGGCTTAAATTTTTTCTTCAGTTCTTTCACTTTGTGAAATGCTGAGCATGTTCTTCCCTTTTGGTTTTCTAACTCCAGGTCTTTGCACATTTCATTATAATAATTGGCTTTGTCTTCTTTAGCTCTTTGAAATCTTCTGTTCATCTCATTTATCTTGTCATTCTTCCATTTATTTTAGCCGCTCTTCATTCAAAGGCAAGGTTCATGGTCTCTTCTGACATCCATTTTGGTCTTTTCTTCCTTTCCTGTCTTATAAATGACCTTTTGCTTTCCTCATGGATGATGTTCTTGATGTCATCCCACAATATTTCTGGTTTTCAGTCACTGGTGTTCAAATGTGTCAAATCTATTCTTTAAATGGTCTCTAAATTCAGGTCATATTTTGGCTCTCGTGGACTTGTTTTAATTGTCTTCAACTTCAAGTTGAACTTGCATATGAGCAGTTGATGGTCTGTTCCACAATCAGCTCCTGGCCTTTTTGGCTGAAGATACTGAGTTTTCCTTCGCCTCTTGCCAAAGATGTAGTCAATCTGATTCCTGGGTACTCCATCTGGCAAAGTCCACGTGTATAGCTGCCATTTGTGTTGTTGAAAATGGTATTTGAAATGAATAAATCATTGGTCTTGCAAAATTCTATCATGTAATCTCCAGTGTCATTTCAATAACCAAGGCCAAATTTTCCAACTAACAGTGATTCTTCTTCATTCCAACTTTTGTATTCCAGTCACCAGTGATAATCAGCACATCTTGATTGCATGCTTGGTCAATTTCAGACTGCAGAAGTTGGTAAAAATCTTCAATTTCCTTGTCTTTGGCTTTGGTGGTTGGTATATAAATTTAAATAATAGTAGTATTAACTGGCCTTCCTTGTAGGCATATGGATATTATCCTATCACTGACAGCATTGTACTTCAGGACAGATCTTGAAACATTCTTTGTGACATTGAATGCCATGCCATTCCTCTTCAATTTGTCATTCCTGGCATAGTAGATCACATGGTTGTCTGATTCAAAATGGCCAAATCTGGTCCATTTCAGCTCAGTAATGCCTAGGATATCAATCTTTATGTGTTCCATTTCATTTTTGACAACTTCCAATTTTCCTAGATTCATACTTCTTACATTCCATTTTCCAATTATTAATGGATGTTTGCAGCTGTTTCTTCTCATTTTGAGTGCCACATCAGCAAATGGAGGCCCTGAAAGCTTTACTCCATCCCACATCATTAAAGTCGGCTCTACTCTGAGGAGGCAGCTCTTCCCTAGTCGTATTTTGAGTGCCTTCCAACCTGAGGGGCTCGCAATTTGGCACTGTATCAGACAATGTTTCAGGGCTAGTCATAAAGTTGTCAAGTAATATATGAGACAGTGTTTCCATACTATTCATAAGGTTTTCACTGGCCAATTCTTTGAGAAGTGGTTGGCCGTTTTCTTCTTCCAAGTCTGTCTCAGTCTGGAAGATCTGCTAAAACCCGTCCACCGTGGGCAATCCTCCTGGCATTTGAAACACCAATGGCACAGCCTCCAGCCTCACAGCAATATGCAAGCCACCACAGTGTGACAAACTGACAGACAAGTTTGTTTCCCTTGGCTTCCTGCCTGGGGGTTCTCCCTGTTCCTGCTGTCAGCTGGCTGCCACTTCCTGCCTGGAGTCTCTTTCCTGCTTACCTGTTCCAAACATTAAATGTTTAGTTAATTGAAAAAGGTGAGCTCTATCTTGTATGTTAAAAACAAAAACAAAACAAAAAAAAAAAAAACCTGAAATTAAATTGCTGACACAAAGGGCTCCTAAATCACACTAATATTAATTTTTGCTAGGAAATATTTCTAACATTAAGACTAATATATTAATCAAACACACAAAGTATATCACTCATCAACACATACATTATTTATTTGGTCAGGCAGTTAAAATGAACATACCAAGACTATTTGCTTCTTAAAATATGCAATTGATATTTCATTGGGCAAAAACATCACACATAGTGTCAGTAGTTTACATGTGTCACTAATTGTCTAAACTCATCAAAATGTGCCT